AGGGACACCCCCAAACCATGGGGACACCCCCAAACCATAGGGACACCCCCAAACCATGGGGACACCCCCAAACCATGGGGACACGGGATCCATCCCACTGGGATCGGGAGTGAGGGGCTGGATGGGAGGGGGGCAGTAAAATGTGTCCCCCCCCATCCCCAGGACAGACAGACCCCCCCAGGGTGTGTGGGGGGTGTTTCGTACCTAATCCTAAATCCTGATCCTAATCCACTTTGGGAATCGGGGCTGGGATAAACCGGGAATTCTTTGCCTTCCCTCCAAACTCATCCAGGATCCCCCCCCTCGTCCCCCCACTCCTGAGGGGGGGGGAAGTCGTCACTCCAGGCAGTGAATTCGGGGGTCCCGGTGTCTCCCAGTCCCTGGAGCTCCAGATCCCAGCTGGGTTTGGATCCTCCTGGTTCCCAGTGTTCCTTGGGAGCGCTCTGGGAATGCGGGCCGGGGGCTGGGCGGGCTCTGCCCCCCCTTTTCTTCCCCTGTATTGTCTGTACATTCACAAAAGGGACCCCCCGGCCGTGTCCCTGACCTTGGGGACGAGGTGACAGCCCGGAGAGGAGTGGGTTGGGCTGGATTCCCACCCCTGCCCTTCCCGTGGGATGAGTGTGATGGGAATGAGTGTGCGTATGGAGGGCTCCAAATCCCCCAATCCCCCCATCCCGGTCCCCTGAGACCACCGGGACACCCCTGGGAGCGGCTCCGAGCCCCAAATCCCCCCAAATCCCCCATCCCGGTCCCCTGAGACCACCGGGACACCCCTGGGAGTGGCTCCGAGCCCCAAATCCCCCATCCTGGTCCCCTGAGACCACCGGGACACCCCCGGGAGCGGCTCCGAGGGGGCTGCGGGGATAGGGAAGGGGAAGGGGTGGAGCCGACCCCGGAGGGAGGGCTGGCCCCAAAAATCAAGGCACAGGGAATGGGAATGGCCGGGATGGGGCTTTTCCTGGCGGGAACAAGCCTGGCGTGTCCGTAGGGATGCACAGACACGGAGCCCTCCCACACCTCCATCCCATGGGATTCCAGGCGGGGTCTGGGGAGAAGGATCCAGCCCTGCGGAGCTCGGGGGGGCTGGAAAACGGGGGAAGGCAGGGGGGGGAGCATGGGAATGGGGGGGGCACAGGGTGGGTCCTTCCTGCCCCCATCCCAACCCCTCTCCCTCCTCCAGGAAGGTACCGGAAAAAAAAGAACGGAATGAGTGGAAGCTCAAAGACACTCGGGGGGGAAGGGGGGGAGAAAAAACCCAGGCAGGAGGGTCGGGGATGAGCCCCTGAATATCAGGGGACAGTCGTGAGGTACCTGCGGGGTGGACCCCCCCCCCCCCACCCTCACCCCCCCCCCCAAAAATTT